GCCTCAGGTGAGCACTGCCATCCCCATGCCTCCCCAGGTGAGCGCCACCATCCCCATCCTTCCTTCCCGCTTCCCCAGCGGCCATTCGGAGCACGCCTCGGCTCCGGGGCGTGCTGGCACCGTGGGGTGATTTTTGTCCCCCCGCCCTGCACGGACGGGTTGTTTTTTGGCCTGGCCCGGCTGTGAAACGGCCTTTGCCTYGGTTAGCATCCCTTGAAATCCCATCGGATTCGTTTCACGGCTGTTGGGAAAACATCCTCTTGGCAAATCCGCCCTCCCCAGGAGGGGAGTGCGGAGCCAAGCACCCCGTGTTTCCCTTTCCATCCGCGAAGCTCCTGGCATTCCAGAGCTTTGAAATGCCTGCAACACTGTAGTAATGACTGTGGATACCGAGGAAAGCCTAGGTAGGAAATTAGAAAGATGCAAGAACTCTTTTTAATTGAGTCCCTTGCTTTGTGTGGCTGCGGCGTCACCCGCAGAAGAGGGGTCACTGGGCAGCAGAAGTGGGGGAAAATCACATTTCTGCTGCTCAGGGACCTGCTCCGGACACCCGCATCCAGCTCCTGCAACCGTCCTGCACGTCCCCCATGGAGGAGAGTCAGTTTGTACGAAACTTCAAACACCTCCTCTTCACGCTGCTTCCACCTTTAGCCCTTCCAAATTCCCAGACGAAGAGAAGCTTTTCAGACAAACTGCTTTCTAACACGGCTCTGTTGCAGGAGACATAGGCAGGTCAGTTGCTTACACACAGACAGCCCTGGTAAGACAGCTATAAACTGAGGAGCTACCCCTGTTTGGACTTCAGCTATCAAAAATGACCACCACCGTGCATCTGCATGCAGCAAACTTTACTCATCTGTGTTGTTTTTGCTCTGTTTCAGCCTCTATGAGGAGCTTCTGTCTCATGGCATCCTGGAACCGCTGAGGGCACCCGTCGAAGGGATGGTGGTGAAAGAAGGCACTCGCAATTACGTGGCACCCCAGGGCAGCTCCTCGGTTGTCAAGTATTTCTTAAAAAAGTCAGGTAATTTTGAGATGCCGTTGCCTGGAGTGCAAGTCGTCAGTTGTGTTTTTGATGGTGTTCTGGAGCTGCTTTTCGTATTTAAAATTTCCAATTAGGATATTTGCTTTCTTCATTTATGTATACCTTGAGGTTACCTAAATGGATGAACGTGCCTGTATTCTAAGTCCTGCAAGCTCTTGGCTGACTTCAGCTGCGCTGCTGACGTATAAAAATGTAAGCACAAGCCTAAGGYCTAAGATCAAGGATCAAACGTATGTTTGTGCTGTTGTGTTAGTGTGTGAAAGCCAGATCTGACACAACTAGGATGGTCATAATTCAGTAGGAGTGGGACTGTACTGTGCACAGACAATTAAGAAGAAATTTGAGTTGCAAAACTTGTGAACCATTACAGTCTTCTAATTACTGAGGGAAAGTCCTCTGGTTTTCTTTTTTTTTTCTTTTTTTTATCTGTCAGATTTACTATCGCTTGTGTTTAACTTGCCCTTTTTGTGAAGCAGATGCAAATGTCTTCTTTGAACATCACGTAACTCAAATCTGTCTTCGGGACGGGAAATGGGAAGTCTCCAGGAAAACAGGATCACCAGAACAGTTTGATATAGTTATTCTCACAATGCCCGTTCCTCAAATTCTTCAGCTGCAAGGAGACATTGCAAACAGTAAGTTCATCCCTCAAAACTGCAGATATTTAACCTAAAATGACAATTTAGCACCTGATATGGTAAAGTATCACTCAACATTTTATTTTTTAAGATGAAAGCTGCTCGGACCCTGGAGCTCTGCAGCGAGCAGTGCCTTAGTTGGCAGTTTCTGGCTGCCCCCTGGGCGTTGTTTTCCCCAGATACAATTAGATCTCGGTTGTCGTTTGGAGATTTATCTGGCTCAATGTGTGGATGGTGTCGTGGAGTCTTTAGGAGGAGCAGTTGCAAGCTGAGAAGTGCACGTTCGAGCCTGGGCAAGTTTGCTGGCTTAGGGGCAGCGTCTTGGGCGTTGCAGTTGCTGCAAGTTTCRCCTATTTGAGTCGGTTCTGGTCTGGTCTCTGGCTTAAGGGCAGGTCTAGTAGTGCTCTAAAGAAGAACAGCTAATACCTGACTTGTTCTGTTCTGTAACTTGGATGTGAAATGTGTTCCAATATGTGGGTCTGCTGTGGATACTGTCTGTTAGAGCAGTAGGAGAGGGGGGTTAGAGCCCCCCGAGACCTACATGAAGGTGTTTCATGGTAAACAGAAGCTGTTTGAGAGAAAAGTAGGTGGGGGGAGAAGAGAAATAGGGTTGCTCAGCAGAGTATTGACCTCAAAGACCATGCAAAAGGAAAGCAAAAGGAAAAGGAATGTCTGATCGTGATAAGAAAAAGGAGTGTTTTTATTGCAGTCTCTTATTTTAAGCTTGATTCTCTAAAGAGGTACTTAGCCCAGAAGAACAGGGCTTCTCAGCTATTTATTATTTTGTGTGCTCATCTAGGCTTTCTTTAAGTAAGTATAATATGTCRGTGTGGTTAAGCCTTTTTAAAAGTGTAAAATTCTTTAAAGTGGCTACCTTTAAAGGTGGCTGGTGTTTACTGGCCCACAGATGTGCTGGGGCCGAGCATCCCTCTGATGTGCTCTCAAATAGATGCTCCAGTTTTGTGCTGCACCGGGGACTGAGCAAAGGACCCGCGCCAGATCCCCTTTTAGCCACTTAGGTATAATTGAATCTATGGGTTCAAAGCCAAATGGAGCTTTAAATGGATTTTGATGGAGGATTGTTAGTGTTAATGTGGAGATAAAGACTGCAAAATAAGCGATGCCGYGTAAGCGCAGCTGTGTGGAGTAGAGGAGGCTTTGAGCCTTTAGCAAGTGCCAGATTTAGGCTTAGATTTAAGTGTATGAAATGGCCTGGGTTGGAGTTGAGAGTTCGAATGACAGAGCAGAAGCCTTGAACAGTTCACCCTGCAAAGAACGGGCCCTTTTGTTGGCTTAGGCTGGAGGTTATTCTGTCACATCTGTATTTCTGCCATGCTTGAGAATATTTAATTGTCCAAATGGTTGATTTTTAACCATCATTGGTTCCGTAAGTGATCACCCTAAGTTGCTGCATATTTATTTATAAACATCATGTTTATATTTATAGATTAGATTTGTAGGTACTTGGTTAGATTGGACACCAGTGCTGATGTTTTCAGAGATGCATCCTGAAAAATAGGCTGCTAAATTTAATTTAGTTTAATTTTTAAGAGCACCCTACACGAGTGCATGTCGTGAGTTTCTCGTCACTGGGGTGGGACTGGGTGGCACTAYGTGCTAGGACTTGGCCAACATGTTGCCATAATTCAGGTGCCTTTTCATCCAGTGGCAAATCYGTTCCTAGACTTGTAAATATTTCCCTGTATCTGTACTTACAGTATTTAAAAATTTAATGTTGCAGAAAGTCAACGAATTTGGGGTTATAAATTTGAAACAGTCCAAAATTTTACCTCCAGACTTAGCTCTTGGGTTTATGTTTTGGCTTTAAGAGTGAAGACTAGCARAAGGGGAGTCGCAGGCTACTTGAGGGAGGTCTCCTGTCACCTCCCCAAATCGTTACATGCTGCTCAGAGAGTTAAAGTGACAAAATGGTGAGGGAGCTATAAATATATATATGTCTGTATTTAATATATAAAACTGTTCCATTTGGTTGTGTTCTTTTGCTCAGATTATTTGTATTCTTCAGCATGGGCCAAAGYTTATCACCTTTTAGCTGAAAGGGCRTAGGGAAGACAGTGAGTTACCATGGCCAGCCTTTTCASAGACTGYTGTATTCATTTCTTCTGTAACTCTTATACCCAGATGTACTTACCAATTGCTTATTTAGCCGTGGCAGACATGAAATAGGAATGCTGAGGGATGTTATAAGGTTTGAAATCGGCTAAACCCATATTTTTTTGTTGAATTGGTGGTCTATGAAATAGTCTTATGCTTCTTTGATCCTGGTATCTGATGAACTTAACTTTTTCCTGACTTTGTTTTGCTTGGTTTCCATTATTAAGTGTATACTATGTTTGTTGAAGTTACAGTAGAAGTACTGAACAAAATTTATCCAGAGAAATCTTTTTGCAATATCTTCATTTTTTTTCCCTCGCGTTCTATCCTTCTTTATATAAAAATATGGTGTATGAAGAGTTTGTACCTCTTCAAGCATTTTAAATCATTGCAGTTCAGTACTAGTATTGCGTGGCAGTAGAAGGGGAAAATGCCCAGCTACTTGCAACGTGTTGAGAACAACAATAGGTGGCAGCAATCAAATAACCTTTAAGACATCTCTTTTTGAAGGGGCTGTATTTAAATTTAGTGCACTAGTTTGTGTTGGGCTGGGTATTGTTTGGTGGTGATTACTGTGGTTATGCAGAAGGTAAGAAGAAAGCAAATAAATGTGTGTGCCTGAGTTTTGTARTGGAAGTTTATTGTCTAAAAAGGGATAAATGCAGAATCTTCGCAAACTAAAGGACTGCATTTTCCAAATATTCATAATCTAATGACTGTTTTGGATGTGACGGGCAAACATATTGTCTGCCCTTGTTAGAATAACGCTAGGAGTATGYAGCGGTGTGGATATGATCACTAAGTAATCCTTTCTTCGAGGAGATTCAAAGGAGATTTTCAAGGAGCATTTTCAAAGGAGATGGGCAAACGTATTTATCAGGTCAGTTTTTATCCAGACATTTAGTACCGTAGCAATTAAAGGTAAAAAATTTGCAGCTATGTGTGTTGTTCCGAGTGTTTTCATGAAGTTGCTTTACTTGGAATTAAAATTTACGGTTTTGCGTAATAATCTACCACCAAAAATGAATGCCTTGGCTTTTGTTTCAGGCTTGACCTATTTCTTTTTCCATCTGTGTTAATGTCCCACATGCTTTATAAATAATACAAGCTGCTGATGATGAGAGGATGCAAGCAGAAGAGGAATATATTTCCTTAAGGAGGCTTTAAAATGTGAATAAGGAAAGTGAAACTTGGAGTTTTCACGAGGCCCAGGTTCTTGCTGAGCACTTCCTGCATATGTATTTAGGTTTGGGTAGAATGATGATAAATTCTGAATTTTCCAGGTCCTTTTCCAAACAAACTTAGTCGGTCTTATCCGGACTTCGAATTTGCTCTCATTACCTAACATATCTAAAATGTCTACTGTAAACACGTACACCAAATTGTTAATGACTTATCAGGCCCTAGGAGCTGAGGTCAGAGTACAAATATTTGTGCTTTCTGGTAATACAGGCAGTTACTAGTTCTGAGCGAGTGTAGCTGTTGATATTAATGTGGTGTTTTAAAAAAACACGTCACATTTAAAATAGAGGCATCTCACTAGGGCCTGAGGGTTTTGAAAGCGGTAGGATCCGCCTTGTTAAAACTGTGTGAGTTGTTTTAATTCARCCCTCCCTCTGCTATATATTTGACAGGTACCAGAAAAACAAAAACCAGAAGAAGCCAAGAGATGGTGCTGGAAGGGAGACCACATCATAGGTTAAAAATACCCTCCCGCCGAACCCRGGCGAAGAAGGGGGAATTATTTTTAGCAGGATCAGTTGTGTGCGTTTCAGTCACCACGTGGCCCACAGACAGTTGCCCTGGCCCGGTTTGCYGACTCGCAGAGGGGAGGAGAGAAGCCCCAGGAGGGAAGAAACGCTGGGCAATCTCAGGTTTGAGCCAGCTTAGGTTTCCTGCACAGCCCCAGGAGAGCACCTGCACCTTTCAGAGCAAATTGCCCCCATTTCACTGGAGTGCTTTAAACACAAATGACTCCTGATGTGTAAAGCRTGGCGTGCTCACACGGGTGTTGTTGGCTGGTCTGGCCCTTGGCGATCGCTGCAGCCTGGCTCTGCTTCTCAAGCTTCTTGCAAACTGGCTCAAGCTTCTTGCAGACAAGCAGCTTGAAACTCCCTTTTAATGCTCCTTTGGCCTCCTTGTGCCATTCCAGCACCACGTTACAGAGCAGAGGTTGAACCCTCAAAATATCAGATCAGCTAAACTTCAGTGAGGGGCACATACGTTAGGTTTTTTCCTTCTAAATAACAAAGGTGACAGGGTGGGAATATGGGTCMTACTTGGAACAGAGCAAATCAATGCTCTAAAACTGGTTTATCTGAACAATAAACACCAATACCTTTCGGTTTTTSCTAGCAGCACGCGGTGTTTGGTACTGTTCAGGAATTAAATGTGTAGACAGAGAAGTCTTTTCTGAGGCTGCTCTTTGCCATTAGCCTAAAATAAGAGGAGGGGGAAAAAAAAAAGTTCCCTGTCAAAAACCATGAACAAACCGAGCAATTCTGAAACTTCTTAATTTCTCTCTCTTGGGACATGCCTTTAATGGGCTGGTGTTTTCTGTGTTTCTGGACATGCTAAGGACATGAATTAAAACAACTCTGGACTAAGACCTTAATACCCAGTAAGCCTAGTTAAGGTATTTATAGTAAACTTGATTTTTTTTTTTTTTTAGACCCTGAAGGTAACATTTATTAATGGTTGATTTGGGGAAACAGCAGTRATCTACATCTCATCTCTCCCTTTGATTAAAATCTCTCAATCTCTCTCCTTTGCTCAAAGTTTTCATTTTTACATGAGAGGGAAGCAGGAAAGGAGAGATAAAGTGGAGTGGAAATATGCTTTTTTGTTGTTGTTGTTTGTTTGTTTTWAAAATGAATATTRTCAGTAATATTCATTCTAAACCCAGTGATACTCTGGCTCCATTGAGTCAGATGTAAAATTTGCTTTGAGATTGTGGTTGGCTGTTCACGTTTGGCATCATAATTTCCAAGAATGTGTGGTATGCTTTTTTGATTAAACTTCAGGAATACCTTTGCCCTCGCCGGTGTCCACTTTTTTCCTGTGCCAACAGATTATAGATGGTAGGGATATTTTGTATTTTACAGACGTATTGCGTTGTGCATTGCTAATTTTAGATGCATGAGCTGGGTCAGCTCACTGCAAGCTCACAGTAGGGGAAGAAACCCACAACAAAAAAGCTCTGCGTTTGTGTGGATCAGCAAACGGGTCTGACTCACTCGGCCGTGGGTAGAGTCCAGAGCTGAGCAGACTTGAAAGAGGAGGTGGGAACCCCCCTCTATATTTAGAAACCTGCCATCAGATCTGTTTAAAATGACTCCTTGATAACGTTGCACTCTGCAGGTTTATTGCTATTTCCAGGACTTTGCAGCATCTTGAAGAAATGGGTTGTGCCTGTGGTCCCTTGGAAGGAGCTCTCGTCYGGGACGTTTAATCATGAGATGGTCTCTCCTGTTCTCATCCAAAGCCAGCAGGTGACTGTCCGCAGTCCCCTCACTTCTTCCCAACTCAGATGACAGGGAGCAGGGACTGAGATTCGTCCAAGGGAGCAGATTTGACACAATAGTTTGTCGGAAGGTGAAGTCCTATATTTGCCTTTTCTTTTTCTTTTTTTTTTTTTTTTAATGCATTTCATTTGCAATGACTGGCACTGGCCAAACAATAGTCTAGCAGTTGCATTCAGTGAATTTCAAACATCTCTGAAGGTTTGGGGGGTTTGCACCTGGTTTAATCACAGCCCGGTGGGTGACTGCTCGTTTGGAGCCTGCAGATCGCAATTAATAGAGGTGCTAAGTTGATGTTGGCTCTTGGGGGCCTGGCTGGGAGGGAATGGCTGTGGATGGTGCTGGAGACCCAACAGGAACAAGAAAACACCCAAACAAGGAAAGTTGCAGACAGGTGGAGTTCTGAGTGATTGATTTTYAGTTTAACTACAAGGGATCATCACAGGCCTAAAATGCTGACTCAGCCGAAACTCTCAGGACCTTTGTGTCCCTTCCCATATTTACATTGGAGCTAGCATAATTTATGGAGTTAAATGCTTGCTCGAATTTAAAAACAAAACAAAAGACCCCAAATCTTGTAGCTTACAGTATTCTTTTTACTATCCCTTTGCCTATACAGGAGATGATCGTCTCTTTATGATATGACATGAAATCTTAAAATAAATCCTTGAAGAGCATCTCAAGGCTAAGAGACTAATGGAATTAATGTTTAAAAAAAAAAAAACTCAACCTTTTTTCATCTACTGTGTTGTTAGTGTTTTATAGGTGTGTAGTGCTTCCCAAGTACTCCTCAAGGCATCCTGCATTGGTAGCTTTTAGAGTAAGTCTGCTTTCTGTCTTTCTTTCTTACTTAACTTACTTTCAGAGTAAGTCKGCCTCATGTTTGTGCACCCCTTGGTGATGCTGCCATCTGTACGATGGAGAAAAGGTAAAGTAATGAATTCTGCACCTCTGGGTCTGCCCAGGTGCTTCCTGGAAGGCATCCTGCTCTCCACCACCAGATACCAGACTTCGAAATCTGCTTTCTGTGACAGAATCTCAGAATCATTAAGGTTCAAAGGGACCTCTAGGGATCATCTGGTCCAAACTTCCTGCTCCAGCAGGGACACCCAGAGCACGGGGCACAGGGTGGCATCCAGGTGGGTTTTGAAGATCTCCAGAGCAGGAGCCTCCACAGCCTCCCTGTGCCAGGGCTCTGTCACCCTCACAGCAAAGTTCTTCCCCATATGGAGATGGAACTGCCTGGGTTCTGACTCGTATCCATTGCCCCATGTCCTCTCATATTTGAGATATATCTGAATTGCAAGAAAACAAAATGTTTGCTTTGAAATATATATGTGATTAGTAGAAAAGTAATCTAAGAAGCACCGTTGCCCCAGGGTGGACCCATTTGCTCCTTGGCGTGAWTGTGGCCTGTCTGCTGACACCATTTTCAGCTCTGAGGAAAGCTTAGCATCTTGCTAAGTATATTTGTATTAAAACTCCAGGAGCACTTCCTCCTTTATAATGCTGTGGCTTTATCAGGGCAATATTTCCTAATAATATAGAAAATTTCCTAATAATATTTCCTAATAATAATAYAATTTCTTTTTTTCTGTCATTGCAGAACTGCGTGATTTAGAACRTGTTGCTTTCTCGAAACAAAAAGCATCCTTTTAGCAGAGGCAATGGTAATAGCAGGTGAAGCACAAAAAGGTAGGGGAAAAATTCTTGATGGTAGCACACAGTCAACTTAGTGTCTGTGCACACTCCCTGACACCCATCAAGGAAAGAAAACTGTTCACAGGGGAGATCATTGCATAACTCAGAAGCAGAAATCGTGTAGAGTTCTATAACACTGAGAGGAATTACAGCACTTCCCCTTTGGTATGCTTTAGGTCACTAAAAAAAGCCATGATACGAGAGAAAAATGAGGTATCTTTCCTCACCATGCTTTGCTTTAATCTTCCTTTGTCACCAAGGCACATATCTCTCAAGAAAATAAGGAAGAGAAAAGAAGAACGTGGTTTCAGTAAAAGCAAGCACTGTTGTTGCGTGCTGGAGGCAAATTTAGCAAAATATTACAAGGTATTACCAAAACTGTTCTGTTTCACAGCTTTTTGAAGAAGGGCTACACTTATCTGTTATATTTTACTTCAGAGGTAAAACTGCAGGTGTCTCTATCCAATTTAAATTTGTTATTAATTTAGTTATTTTTTTGAGCACATTGGATTGATGGGTCCCCCACATCATCATGATGTAGGTGCCATGAAAACCGTAGAGGCTCAGGTAGGTCTCTCACAGGGAACCAACTAACACCAATTCAACAGTATTTTAGCAAGAAAATGGGAGAGAAGATCAGCCCATCCGTTTCTTGTTAGCTTGAGGTGTCCTGTGCCCTCAGCCTGCGCGACTGGAGGAATCTAAAATAACCAAATAGTCTCTGCCATTTATCAGTTTCTCAGCAAAAACGTCATGCACTCGTGCATGCCGGCTCACTCCTGCATTGGAGTCTGCCCCAACACTTCCTTCAGCACCCAGCAAAAGAGGAGAGATGAGGATTTCATCCAACAGCATATGGTTTTATTTATAACATATTTCACAACTGTGACATTCGTAGACAGGGCTCGCTTATGTAAGACGCTCCCGCTTCTTTCCTCTGCCAGCAAGCAAAAACTTCCGTATGTGCACTCACATTTTTTAAGGTAAAAAGGCATGGAGTTGGTTCATTTTAGGTGGTGAAACTGAGGATCATCATTTATTTCACTGCAGTGATGGAAACTAATTTTGAGATAGTAAAACATACACACACGCTTCTTAACTGGAAGTATCCTTCTTTACACAACAGCAGGGAAGTCCTGAGAGATTTCTGTACGTAGAAAATTGCCGTATTTCCATCAGAAAAATTAACAGACAATGTGGAATACTTTGAGACCAAGATGAGGGAGAATGAAAGAAATCRGTCCAGAAACAGATATTGCAGGATGTGAATGATAAACAGTCTCTGTCCTTAAATKATCGTAGTAGCTTGTTTGCTTCCTCCACTTTGTGGTATTTAGCTTAAAAACATTAATARACTACAGTCTCTTGGCCTAATCATATCCAGGTGATTAATATCATCTCTTGCAACTGCTGAAACATGTTCTTTTTCCTTTTTTTTTTGTTTTTTTTTTAAATCAGTTATTTAAAAAAAAATTATTTGATGTTAGTGTTCCTCTTTCAGCTTTCTGTAACACTTACATCTGTGGTAGATAAGAAGTAAAAAGGGAAGTACAAACATTTCCAGTGCTGATGTTGGTGCTAAACTTGCTGGCCAGTTTTATGGTGCCTGTTACACAGCAGTAGGTCAGGAAGGGCTGCATAGATGTATAATGTACCTATATAATTCTCAGTGTGTTCTTTATGTTTTAATTTATAAATACAGGGAGTTATACATTCATTAAACACAAGCGAAAACTCAAAATGCTCTCTGCTGTGACCCACTCTTGGCTTTCTTTTTTGCTTCTATTTTTTTTCCTCGCATCATTTTCCCTTTTTCCAATGCCTGTAGCTCCCTGCTTACAGGAAAACTAGAATCTCATCCCGGGCTCATCAGCTTGCGTGGAACAAGGTTTGTGATTTGGAGTCCAGACAAAGCCAGGGACTTGCTGCATCCCTAGGAGAACCCGTGCGACGGCGGTCACATTCCAGACAGCAGCTCTTGCTGTTTCCTGTGCAATAAGAACTCCATTTCCAAACGGAGACAAAAGCCTTTGCTCCGCTGAGTCACGCTCCAGAGCCATAGACAGCTACAGCAGAGTTCGTGTGCGTGGTTCCCAGTTCCAGTTTTGACTTTGAAGTCAAAATTCCCTTTTTTCTGTCAAGCTGCAGTGGCGGTGGGACTGCACACGCATGCCCCTGCACGTGTTTTCTCCACGCCGTGTTATCCTGGTTCTCCCTTGTGGCTGCATCGGTGCTCCCAGCAGGCTGCAGGTTTGCTCTGCTTCACCTAAAGCGGTGCTTTTTGAGAAAGGGAAGTGGAAAARAGCACTAGCTTGCACGAGTCCAAAGCATGTTACCTCCCAAGGTGATGAGTAATCAGAAATTGCTCTTTTTGAGGGGCTTAATTCTCTTTTTGATTGCCTAGAACTACATCTGACTACCCATTAAAACCTACTTGAGGGGTGCTGGCTTGCAGCCAGTAGACTGTTACTGTAATAGCAGGTTTGATCCATGACCTGGCTGTATATCACGTATGGTGTGATATGCCTGGAGCCTTCATGGGCAAATACCGCCTGAATTTTTTTGCAAGAAAAATAAATTGTGAATTTATATCAACATTATATATTTTTATTATTATAATTTTTATTATTATAATAAATATTGTATATTTATTATTATATAAAATATTTATATTTTATATAAATAAAAATAAAAATAAATTGTGATATTGCCAACCAGTGAAGCCAAAGAAAATTGCAGTAGATTTAGAAAAGTGTTTAATTATGGTGTTACGGAAAGGGAGGGAAGCCGACGAAAGGGCAAAGAAACGACGCTGCGAGGACCATCTTGCTCTTGCACCAARTAACAGTGAGGTAGGAGGACCTGCAACTGCTCAGCTTTTTAAAAGCCCAATCTTGAGCCCAGTCTTGCTTTATAAAGAGCACTGTGCTGTCTGCTGCCAGCAGCAGCGTTGCAGGCTCTTGTTAAAATTGTGTGATTGCCTGCAGCTTTATAATATTGTGTGTTTAGCCCAAGAGACATCTACACTTCTTGGAGGGTTTTTTCCTCCCCCCGCCATTACCATTATTAGCAAAATACCAAATTYGGGAACTATCTAGAAAAAAAAAAAAAAAAGAGGAAATAAGTGTGGAATCTCTGAACTCGGGAGTGGGGAGAAGAAATGAGTAGTTAGCATGAGGAATTGTGGTTATTAAAGCTAACAGAATGGACTGAGCATCTGGAAAACACAGAGGGGATGACAAGTTAACGCTAGATATTTACACAAATATATAGTGCTAGGTGCCTTCTCAGCACCACTTCAAAGAAGATACAAGAAGATCCTCAAAGAGATTTATCAAGAAAACCTGAATTTACTGCAAAAACCRTCACATGCATCACAGGCAAAGAAAGGGGACGTGGGGTCCCAAGCTCGTTCAGCGCTTTCTGATCGGAGCTGAATTCCCGTTGCTTCCTAGATTTTGCCTCCATTGCATCCTTGAAATATATTTAATGTTGAAGGATACAATTGCCTCTTGTTTTTGTAAGACAACTGGAAAGGCAAAACTTGAAGACCGGTGCTTTCTGAAGAAGGAAATGAGCTTTGCAGAGCTGCTGAGAGCAAGACGGGATAAATAAATCGAGCTGAAGATGGGGAAGGAAAAAAATAGAAATTTTCCGAGGGAAATAAAAGATTAGATTAGTAGCAAGTACCTCCTCGCGTTCCTCTCTGCAGTGTTTGTTAAGGGTGTCCTTTCCCATCTTCTGCTCCTTGCATCACGTATGGAAGGGCATCCACTGCCATTTCAGCTCGTTCCAACCAACTTGTTGGTTCTGGATGTTCTGCTATTTGGGTTTTTTTTGCTGCATAGCCCCTTTTCCGTGCTTAATTGACATTCCAGTGCCTCCTCCAAAAGCTTCCGCTAGATATGGAGGATTTATCACATGTGTTGAGCTCTGCTGCAGGTGTTTGGCCCCTCTTGGCCATAGCCACATGTTGGGCAGCCTCCACAGTCCTGCTTCTTTGTGCTTTTGATGAGCACTCGCTCCAACCTGGGGGTTTCCTGAAGTGTTTGAAGGTTCCTCTGGCCTTGGAGCCAGCAGTCCCTGCGATACTCAGCCCGTTCAGGTCCTCATTGGCCATCATTCCCAAGATCTCCAGCACATCCTTGCRTCAGACAAGACCAAGTAAAGCTTGTCCTGCAAGGCATGGACCTTCTCTCTCTTCTTCAGGGTGGTGCTGGGTTATGAGGCTTTCAGGCTCTGCGTTTTAAGCCCTAGTATCTTTGGCTGGYTCCCTGGCAATGAGTAGTTCTCATTGCTTTTCCTTGGATTACAGTATATTCTTCTGGGTAAGAGAAGACCGGACTTAAATTACCTAGAGAACCAGGGATTTTCTTCGTGTCTTTCAGCAAAGCACATAAACAGATGCTGATAGATACTCAAGGGCTTYGGACAATGAGAGAAATATCTGTATACATTGCTTTCTGTTTCTGGTTGTTATGTAGTCTCCAGCACCAGTGTTTTAACTTTACCTTCGCAGTCTGTGCTATGACTCCTGCTATTAAAATTATCTGCTGTTGAATGAAACGCCTCGGTGTCCCTAACACTTATCTACCCTCAACAGAGGGTAGAAAGGAGAGACAGAAGACTGAAAAAATGAAAAAAAGCAATGTGCAGTTAAGATAGATTAATAGTATTACACCCAAACCACAGTTCCCTGTGGTTTTTATCAGTTCTTTGTATTTTTTGTGTGATCTAAAAATACTATTCCTTGGGTTTTTTTTTTTCTTTTTTTTTTTCCTAGGGTAAATCAGAGTGAGTGTTGCTTTTAGGTCGGAATGATAATGATTTTGTGCAATCCCCTTATTTTTGATGTGCAAAAACATGATGCCATTGCTGCTTTCTGTGGCTCCACTGAGTAATGCCACTTACTGTTAAGTATCCAAAGGTATTGCACATGACAGAAAATAGTGATCTTTAGAGGGGAAGTAAATCAAATTTATTTACTCTCAGTGAGGACTGGTTAGTGTGTGAAAAGCACCAATTTTGCAGTAGCTCCTGCAACACGTACTTTTAGGAAATGTAAAGTTTTGCTCTTCCCTTATGGTGACTCCGTATGGTGACTTCATATGGTCTGCATATGAAGTGAATCTTGGCATACAGGTGTCTGCAGGATGAGTCCTGGATGCTTTCACAGATGTTCCTGCCTCCTGTTCTGGTGGAGATACCTCATCTAGAGGACAAAGTTACACCTTCATGATATATCTTACTCATCCTCTTGTGATGCCACTCCTCCACGGTGGTTTTTATGGATGCACACCAATTACTCACTAATTACCTGTTGAGGTTTGCGCCATCTTCTTTTTCAGAAGTGATTAACATAATTTATAGCATTTATTTCTCTTTATAGAGGTGTGACGGTCATGGTTATTTTGTGAGCTGTGTTTTCATTGCGTGGCAGCTCGTCATGTCTTCTCATGCAAAGAATCAGCTGTGAATCTTCAGCTCTGGTCGGAGAACAAAACTGTTGCAGCTAGTAAATCTTAATATAGAAGGCCAGTTATTAGACTGAAGTTTCAATACACTCAAAATGACAGAATTACTTATATTGCCAGAAGTGTTTGCGGTGGAATGGAAACCTTCTGTTGAGTTCTCATCAATAACTTCTAAGTATAGGAACCCTGGTAATATAGACATTTCTAATGAGAACTTGCATCGCCATCTCTACTTTTGGGAGCCAGTTGGCTGGTTAACAGTAAATGGACGTAATTATCGTGCCAGCTCACCGTTGGCACCGACTTTGATGGCAGCAGTTTCACTTACTGAGGCTACAAATYGTGAGTCATCAGTTTTATTAGGCTGACAGGTTCTTTTGCAAGACTTGAAGTCGTTTCCATGATGACTTTCAGCTTCCTCTAAGTATCTGTAGAAAGATGAGGAACACATTGCGTGTTCTTCATATGTGCAACCCTARTAGAAGATTGCATATTTTTGGAGACCAGATCAAAAAAAACACATTTCAGGTTCATTTTTTTCCTGACCTCTTCTTGATTTATAAATCACTTATGTACAAGTGCTTATGGCCAGGCAGTGGTAGACTGGGGATTAATGTCAAGAGGAGATGGCTGATGTGAGAGTTCATTTATAGTGCTGGAACAGGGTAATGCTCTAGCAGGCTTTATTTGTGAGCATGGATGCAGACCCCTTTGGCGTCTCCCAACCTCTTCAGATGTTCCTCGAGCCTTGGCAAGAGTTTTGTGCCTCCCCAGTGGAGATGGAAAGCTGCCCACAGAGGGTTGCTGTTTAGGCTGATGGAAAACCACATTAACAAAACACTGGGAATGACTCTTGAAAAACTGGAGCACACTGGCTGCAATGTGCAGACACCTTCTGCAAACTGTTTCCATGTTGGTGCCTTGGATGACTGTGAAAGACCTGGAGAATTAGTTAACCCTAAGGATTTGCACTAGGATGCTTTAGTTTAGTTTAGTTTTTTAATCTGTAGAGTGCTATTTTTCTCGGTTAAGGGGGAATGGCAAGAGGAAAACATCCAAAATTTCTGATAAATTAGGTTCTATCTATTGCCAGAAATGGAGCATGCTAAACGTGCCTTCTGCTTCCTTAATATGGAATCTGATAATACTTATTTTCTTTTCAACTATGGCCTTGGCTCTCTTTTGCCTTTAAATAAGACGATCTCWTTTGGTTACAGTGCTTGAGGTTTTGTGCTAAGCGGGATAGATAGCTGCTTACCAACTCCTGCTTATCACCTGCGGAGCMTTTAGGTGACGTCCTGCAGTAAGATCCACCTTTGTAAGAGCGAGTGTCATGGAGTGACTTTAGCAGGACAGCCGCAGCACGATGTGTGGGGGAGTGCAGCTCACTGYTTTGAAGGTGAGATCCACCAGGGACTTGAGTGTGAGCTGGAGCTG